ACTAGGAAAATACACATATTTGAAGGGGAGAGAGACTGGCTTTATAGACGTATGAATATACACATAAAAACATGTCTAACCCCAGGTTTTCTGTCATGTTGCAGACTGTGACATGGCTAGGTTTAGATCTGCACCACATGTATTCATGTCACATGAAATGCATGCATACACAGGCCTCCCAATCAAGGGGAGTTTCCCAGGACATAAGAGAAGACCTGAGGGACGCCGTGAGGTTTGTTTGGGCAGTCAGCAGCCCACAGCGGATGCGTACAGCCGACTGGCGGAGATAAAGCCAGGTTGGTTGGCAATGCCACGGCCGCACTTCCAGGCTCCATGCAGATAGCTATGAAGTGGCAAAACACACGCTCCCTATCCCATTCCTCTCTTGTTTATGTGCGTGAAGCAACACAAAACCATATGCAGGCTTTCACTGTTAGTGTAAGCCATATTATTCTTGTAATTAAAACCAGGTCCACGGCCTATCCGAGAGCCCCTCTTCTTCCCCTTCCCCTTCCCCCCCCTTTGCTCCCCTCACCATTTGCCTCTCTCCAACCTTGTTTGGGTTTACATGCTGTGTCATTAAATTCCAGAACAGTAAACGCTGCAGCCTCTCCCTCTAAGCACTGACATGCTGCTTTCTAGGCTGAAAATTAGACATGGGGTTAATTTCATTCCTGCAAGGACTCTGCCTTTTATTTTTCTTTACGTCCAACTCAAAGGATGCTTTTGGCAGATGCGTAGTGGAAAAAGATCATGTTTGCTCTCCGCTTCCTCCCTGCACTCCCCCCTCTCCACTCCCACCCATCAGTCATAAAACAACACAGCCCAGCCAGATCCCAAACTGAAAGCAAGACAAAGCAGCCACACAGCCCCCACTTCCACTCAGCAGAAATGGACCGCTCCAGGGTAGCCCAGGATCTACAAGTAGGCCAGACAGAAATAAACAGAGTAAACAAAGAGTATCCTGTCCAAGCAGGGAGGGGCTAAAGAGAGTGATGTCTTTCATTAAAATGCAAGGCAGGGATACAAGCACACAGCCAGTCAAAAGCATCACTGGAGCTTGCTAGGAGTAACAGGAGGAAAGCAGCACATGATCACGCCATTATAAGGACCCAAAGCACATCACGCAACTGTACACAGGGCACAACTGCATATCCCGCCTACCAAGTGCCAAAACAAGGCCGCCAACCACACACCTACCACCACCCCAAAAGACCAGAGACGCCAACCCCAAGGCTGCGGCAGCACAGCGCTGCTCTCCGGAAGGCTGAGTAGGGAGCAGTGCACACAGGTACAGTACCAGGCGACCAGAGCCGTGCAAATGTCAGAGCCAATGACATTTAAAAACAGCGTAGCTGCCTTTTTAGAAAAGGGATGGGAAAGGGGGAGAAAAGCACAGCACAGCCATAGCAACAGGTCAAGTGCTTGCCACGGTTCTTTGGGAGGAAGGGTAATGCGGTGCGTGTGCCTTCTCGGCTTTCAGAGCATTTGTCACGTAATAAAATCATTAGCCTGGGAATTAATAAGAGTTTTGTTTAGTTTTTCTGCAACCTGCTGCTCTGAAGCCCACGCAGATCCATGTGTGAAAGTCCATGCTGCGTATACCCTTGTGTCTCCAATTACGCGGCTATCGCAAACAAACCTCACGTTTTTCCACAGACTGGTGGGAAAAATGAAGTACGTGGAGAGGTGGGGAAACAGCCAGGAGTTTCTAGCAAAACAGCAGTCTGTCTGCTGCAACTCTGCTCGGTTATTGGGAAAATTGAACATGCTGCTTTTTTTAAACAGCCTAATCATATTTACTATTACATCAGACTTACCCACCACAAATTATTCTCATGCAATGGAAGAATTTTTAATCTAATATCTTGGACTCGGATAATTTCCCAGCTGCAGAGCTGCAATAATTTCCTATCTTCTCATTTTTGAGATAAGCTGATTAACTTGGATATGTTTTAGTTTCAGGGTGCGATTATCTCCCTTTATTGTACTTGAGAGAGAAGGGGTGACTTACGGTAAAATAACTTTGTTTTCCCCAAGTCAGCTCTTAAAGTCTGCTTCTCTGTGATGGAGATAGGTCTTTCCTGTTGCATCTCCCTCAGCCCCTTAACTTTCAGCACTTCCTCTTCCTCTCTCAGAGACACTTTATTAACAACAACTCTTACGTTACTCAAAGAAAAAACACTGTTCAAGAAATCCCTGAAATAACTCTTTCAAAAAATCTCATGGAGAAAACATTTTCTTGTTTAAAATACATTTGAAAGTTTATTAAAAACCCCACAACCCAGCCCTATTGGTCAAATCCTGCTTGCGTTGTTCATTCGTTTTCAGGCACACTTACAGAAGAAGAAGAATAGCAAAAAAGGATGATAAGGCCTGATGCTCTGTTCACATATACAGTGGAGCAAAACAGAAACCTCCGTTCACTTCAGTAGAACTGATTTACACCCAAGTAAGGGAGAAGACAAGCAAATCCTTGAATTTATGCCATTACAAATTGAAAAATACTGCTTACTCCCACGATTTTGTTGAGATCTTTTGATATCTAATGTTTTTTCTTAAATCCCCAGGTCCTAGATTTACTTGATTATGCCAAAGGGACTCCCTTTCCTCCTTTAATTTTTCCTTAAGTTTCTAGCAATCCTATTCTAGGAGGAAAGCCTGAAACCATGAGCTGAGGACACTTTTTGGACTGGAAGGCTATATATGTTGAAGTGTTTTGATTTCCTTTTCTCTTCTAGATCTCATTGTTGTGCAGGGCTTTTCAACCTGTGTTGATTTGCAGACCAAATTCGACACTGGAAACGTATGAATTACACATATGCAGATTCCCATACGGCACATATCAATTCATTCCTCTTAGTTACCATTCATTAATTCCTCCGAAATAAATGTTCATGGGTTGAAAACCTCTAGTCTGATGATTTAGTGGGAGTGTGGCTCGTGCGTTTTCCCTGCACAACATTGGCAATACCAAGAAGGAGCTGGCCTATTTAAAAGGGAGACTCTCTAAAAAGCCAGTTCAGTGAAAAGACATGGTTGCATAAACATGCAAGTGCAAGAACTTCTTAATATTACAGATGTAGCAACAGAACAAATCAACGTTTTGCTACTTCCTATTAAAAAAAAAAAAGTAACCCCAGCCCCCAACAAACCGCTGCTCGTGCACAGCTGTGCCCCTCGCAGCTAAGCCCCTAAAACCATCCCCGTCCCCAGGAAGGTGACGGGCAACCTCTGGTTCTCCCCTGCTGGGGAAGGGAAAGTGGAAGCTGTCCTCTACTGACTGCAGTGAGAGCACTTGTGTCCCTGGAAACACTCTTGCAGAGAACAGCCTGCAGGATAACAGCAGCCCTCCTATTACCAGCGCGTTTCTACGGGCGCTATTTCTAAGAAAGCAGCCACAGGAGCAGATCCAGAAAACGTGGCAAAATATATGAGGGAAGAAAGAAAAATTACAAAGAGCCTGGATTTATCCCTGCCTGTTCCTACCGTCAGCAGCAGGACTATAGAGAAGACAGACGGTGAAATGTTGTAGTGCTGGACATACAGCCTGGTGGGGCTTGCAGTTTTGCATCACTCAACCCTGTTTAAAAGCTCTGTCCGGAATTCTTACTTCTTGGTACTCCAAGATACAATATCACAGCTACCTTTAATTATTTCTTTTTCCTGAAAGTTAGTTAAATCAAGTTTACCTTTTCTTCATTAGCCTGCTTTAAGTGAATTTAATGAATGCAATTCTGGTAATGAAGCGTGGCTAACAGATAACAGTCCACAGAAACCTTCCACTAGTACACTGGTACAGGGCAAGTCTATCTACAACATATCAAAATAACTTAGTCTTTAGGCACCTTTTCCTACAGCAAGTGTTAGCAGGTGACTCATGATAACTGGATTTTGCCACCAAAGAGCTACAGAACGAGTAGCTTCATGCCACCCAGCTGAATTAAAACTAGAAGAGTGACAGTGAACCGGTCTGTATTCCACACCACCAGCATCCCCTGTATGTTAAAGTCACTCTGTCAATTCCAGTTCAAATTAATCAAGAGCGGATCAAGTCTACCTTTTATGCTATTTTCTAAATGAAATCAGATGTACATGTAAAACTGGTATTTAAATGGGTTTTACCTAATAATGAGTCAGATATTGACAGAACAATCGCAGTGAAGACCAAGGTAAGAGGCACTATATTCTCATTAATAATTCAAACCTCAGCATGGATATTGATGACCATGCACTTAAAAGAGGAAATGGGGCAGCAGCTGGAGTTAGCCCAGATTTCCTGAAAAGTTGTTGGAACACAAGAGAGATGCACAAGAAAGATTTTACTGTAAGATCCAACCAGAGAAATGGCAGCTCCTCATTATTAAGAGATCTTGGACCCTCAGAAGCGTTACTGAAATTGAGCAAGGAACAAAAACACAGCATTAGCAGACGAATGAAAGGGGACGGGTGAGAAAAATAAGGGAATGAAATCTGCAGGCAGAATCCCAATACTTCCCCTTCCTCCCTCCTCCCAGTCCCAATATTTGGGCCACAGAGCAACAGCATTCAGTGGTACCTAATTCCAGTTACTGCTTAGGAGCAAGCAATGTTACAAGCTTTAAAATAAATGTGTACAATCAGCAAAAGCACACACAAATAAACAGAAAGGTCATAGGAGCCAAAACCACTCAGAACAAACCAGTTGGGGCTAGTTAACATAATCGGCTCTATTCACATAACTAAGTTTGTTTCACTGAGGGCATGAACTTTCTTGGAAAAGCTCAAGTAATTAACTGCAGGAGCTTTCCCTCAAGTTTATTTTACCCTGAAATTAGAGCTGCTTGCACACAACTGCTGCTACCAATTCACTCAAAAAAATCTGAGTTTTGCTTGTTCTTTCCAGAAGGAGATGCTTGAAGAGATGGTACCGTTGAAGTGTAGGATTCCCTTCAATTCCTCCTACCTCCTATCCACCCCTCCCTTCACTTCAGATAGATACAAAGAAAACCATATCTTACCTCGCGGAAAAAGAGCAGGTTTCCAATGAAAGGAAGAGGTGGAGGATGCCGGATCCCTACATTGCTTAGTTTGGAGAATGCAGAGGTGGAGTACCTGGAAAAAATAAGGTGGTAAGTTAATTTTGGATGTTGTCATGATAGGACTTACCATAGTAATTGGTTCAGATTACTTCCCTGGATTCAGAGAGGGACAAGATGCTTTCTGCATTGGCCAGACAGAACTGCCAATGTGGTGACATTGCTCAGCAGCTCCTTAGGTCGCAGAAATAAATGCAATACACTGGTGCTTCAGAGAGGGCAAAAGAACAAAGGGACTCAAACACAGGCCTGCAAATTGAGCAGTGGAAATAGAGAGCTGCTCCTCTTCCCACAGAGGGTCTTGTAAGTCAGAAGCTACGTTAGGTTACAAACGAGATCAAAATAGGCATTTGGGGTTTGACTACTGTGGCACAGCTGGCAAGGGAACAAGACAGATCTTCAGACTATTATTTTTCTTCTTCTTCCGTCACCGCTACCTATACAGATCACAGAAGAAGAATTCAAACTAGTCTCAGTTGTGCATGAGCCAAGACACTGTCAGTATGTTCAAGTCAAGCCTAGTATTTGGGCCAGATATGCTGATTAAGTGATTTTCCAGCTGCCAGTCAGCAAATTAAACAAAGATAAAAAAATACAGGGAAACAAAACCCAGACTGAAACGCTTCATGCATCCCTTGTTTCAGATGAAACTGTGGCATGTTGACAGGGACAATACTGGAAAAAAAAAGAAAAAAGAAAAACCCAACACCAAAGTCTTTTTTTTTCCTCCCCTCCCCCTTTCTTAATACAAACAATGGATTTAAGTCAGTGGACTTCAATTAGTGAAACCTGAAAGAGCAGGAGCTAACAGCAGCAGCTTTGATTAGCCAAAGACACAACAATACTGAATATTATCATGCTGAACACTATCACCAGGAGGACCAGGGCAAAAGATCTTTAAGATTAGTAAAGGCTGTGTCTATATTAACACCTTAGTGCAGAGCAATAGTATAGTTTTAAAGCTCTCCCCCTGCATGATGGTTCCGTGTCTGGGGCAATTTTGGCACACGCAACCACGCTTTTTTGAGAGGAAACTGAACTTGAAGCTCTGCTCGAATCCTTCATCTCTTACCAGGGCAGGTCTGAACTAATGAGCAGTCCTTTAGTTTTGAACCCCAAGTGCAGTGAGACTGTTTAGTCCTGGGGAGCAAATTAAATCCAGTCCAAAATAAAAACTGTGAACTGCATATGGTGTAGGGGTCGCGACATCAGCTGCGTTTATCTATCGACTCTGCAAGTCGTCTGAATGACATGATAGGGAGACAGTGGAAGCAGTGCCCTCGGATCCCAATGGGCTGACTCCCTCTTAATCCCAGCGTACAGCCTTGTTGACTCTGAAAGCTATGCTAACCCACTGCTATGACTTGGACCTCTCCCTCTTCAGGTCCAATAATGGACACATGCCTCATTTGAAATGCCCTGCATGATGCAGGCAGGAATATTCTGGTTTAACCTAATGGGCAAACAGTGCACAATTCTTGGGGGTCAGGAAGGAGGGGGGAGAGAAAAGGAGAGAGAGAAAGGTCCAGAAAATGGTCCTTTCCTCCAGCAGGGGGGAAAGGAAAGAATGACGTTGTGAAATGAAATATATAAGATTAAGAAAATTAAATCTCACACGACCAGCAAAGCACAATGGGACTTAAGTATCGAGTTAGTAGCTTTTTGTACTTCCGTTTCCTGAGAAAATTTCCTGCAGCACAGTACCTATTCTATTAAGGGGGTTTCTTTTGTGAAGATATTTTACAAAAATCATAATCAGAAGATACAGATTTGATCATTTTTAAATAGCAGCAATGTTTTTTTTTTTATGGGGCAGTACAAACCTTCACAAACACAAACCCTCTCAATAGAAATTATGTGTCTTCAGTCTATGCAAGGGCATTATTTCAGTATGACAGGGTATCGTGGAATAAAGGCACAGAAGTCAACATTTATTACACATTTTATACATATTATTGACTTTTTGGTTACTTAACCGCTTTAAGAAATATAAGAGTTTTTCCTTATTGAAACAGCTAATACTCTTGGGGAAAAAATGTTTTAACTTCAAAACAACAAACAGCCTACACGATACATTTTCTTCCCCAAAGAGAGGATTTTTTGCTGTTGTTTGAAATCTTCCTGAAGTGTCTTTGTGTCACAGCGAAGTCATCATCTTCAGTATGTAAACAGTGGAAAAGATTAAAATCTCTCTCAGTGGAAACCCGTCAATTTTGCAGCATTTTATCCTGGATGTTTTCACTGTAAAATACGTGACAGATCACAAAACACCCGGCTGGGCTATAGTTAACTGCTAATTTCACTGTAGACCGGACACTCTGTAGATTCCTGGTCTTCATGTACTGCAAAGTGAAAAGTGACTGCAACAGAGCCTTACACTACACAAAGTAAACAATGTGATCACCAAATATTTCAAAAGGAGCAGTACTAATGAGTACAGCGCACCCAGTTTCACAAGGCAAGAAACACCCAGACTCAGAAGACTATTTATGCTTAGATGAGCAGTTCATCTTTGTCAGCTTCTGAACATTACTGGCAGCTCCATACAGCTGAGGATTTGCTTTCCTTTTTCCCCTCCTAACATGGTTTTCTCTGATGCTTTTTATTCAGTTACATTTGAAGTAGGTTTTCAAAAGGTAAGGAAACACGGTTTACAATGAGATGGGAAACAGAAGTGCTGTAGTCAAGCTATACACTGAAATATAACAACGAAAGGGTAGGGACAGCAGCAAAAAAAGAAATCTCATCAATAAACACATCTAGCTCTACCCTCTGATTTCACAATATTTCTGGTATTGTTGAAATATCTGCAGTTTTGCAGAAAAGAAAACAGTATGAAAGTGCTTAAAGACTGATGGTGCTGCATGCACAAAAGAAGGAAGATCTAACATTGCACAGGTAATCTTGACTTTGGCCGTTTATAATGTAACAGCTTATGTTCTGCAACCTTAAATATTATTTTAGGAGCCTTTTTCCCCACCTCTGCAATATTTCAGCTCATTCCCACCATTTTGGATGGGGGAGAGAGAGGAAGGAGTGACTTGGGGGCTCCTTTTAAAAAAGAAGAAAATAGAAGTTGTCCTGCATAACACACAATGAACATCAGCAATACATGAATCTGACAGCTTCATGGCACAAACCTTTGCCTTTTCAGCCAGAAGCCACCGATAACTCGAACAGGCTAATTTATGTGATTCGGCTACTCAGCACACCCATGCCACACACGTGGCCAGTAACTCACAGAGCTGTGTGCTAAGTGCACTGGGAGAACAGTGGCCAGGTTTTGTCTCTGGGAAGGGGAGGTGGGCTAGAAGTTAGAAGAGTGCAAACAGGCAGGGTTGCCTTGTAGGCAGTCACAAGATGTTCATCCGGGGAAGCTGTATGTCTAAATGAAACAGTTCTGAGCCTGCCTTTTCACCAGCGGGAAGTCTCATTTCTCACTCTGCCACTTAACACACTTCTGTGTTAATTTACCACAAAAATCAACCTGGTATCAGGCACGGTCCTGCTGTTGCTGTGCATGCACGCTGAGGGTAGAAGCCCAGCCAGTGGACTAGAAGGGCTAAGTCAAATGCAAAATCTAGAAATAGAAGAGATACTGAGAGATTACCAAGATGACCAAAGACATAGAACAACTTCTGTACAAGGAATAAGCAAACAGGCTATAATCTTAATTCCTGGAAAAAGAAGCAACTGATGCAAGATATGACAAATATATTTAAGATCCCGCATGGCTTAGAAAATAAATAAAGAATTATTACCCACTATTTAAAAAAAAAAAAGAATTAAAATCCACAAATGAATATTCAGGTGGCAGGATGGAAAAGTGCTTCATTTTTAAAGTAATCAATATACTAACTATGAAACTCCTTGCCATGAGACGTTGTCTATTTCAGAAGCTTAAAAAGCTTCAAAAAGTGATTAAATAAATTAATGAAAGGGAAAAAAAAAATCAGCAGGCACTTTTAATTCATGAATTTAACAAATATAAAAGAGAGACACATGGAAAAGATTAAAGGGAAGGAGGGAAAATTAATCAAATTTATTTTCCTAAGCAGGGAACTAGTCTGTAAGCTTCCAATGGCAGAATAAGAGATTAGACCGTTACAAAACCTAAAAGATAAAACCTCAGACACTTCAGTTTTCTTAAGAGGAAGAGAGGAAGGAGTCTGTGCAAAGGGAGGGGATGAAAAAGGATGAAACTCTGATGGCAGCAATATTTACTGGACAATCTAGCACATTCTCACTCAAAGGAGAAACATACCCTAATATTTACACACGTAGGACTTCCTACACAACTATTAATTTAAAACCCTGGCATTATATTTTGAACAAAGTGACAAGACATCAAAAGGAACCAGAGGAAAAGGAGTAATGAAGTAGATCAATAAACAATTCAATAACTCTTTGAAGACATTCAAATGGCCTCTCAGAGCTAGATGCTCTCCTATATATTTAACACGACTGTTATAAGAAAGTTAACATGCCAAATACATTCCTGTAGGCTAGCACGGCAGATTTATGCTCTCTGAAATATGAACTTCTCTCCACAAAACACCATGCAAAAAATAAGGAGAAGGAGTTAAAAATCAACAGATAATTAACATAAGTTGCAATGGATATATAATCAGCAGACTAGCCATCTGCCCAGCCAGGTCGGTACTGATCAGTACTGCAAGAAAAAGTATTATACAGTCTACCATTAAGTGCAATCAATTTATGTAGCAGATGATAACATTACAGAGTTGCCAATTCTGCATCATAGAGTTCAACATACCACTGAAATTACCCCAAGTGTCTCTCAATAAAGTGCGTCATTCCTTCTACATCTAAGTAATGCACAACCTAATAATATCTGAAAGCTATAAACTAGGACAACTCAGAGATAAAAAAGTGATGTTATTTAATCTCATTGTTGGGAGCTGGGAGGTACGTTATTTAGGAAGACTGAGTGGGAAAACAAAGTATTTTGCTGAGATAATGGAAATAATTCCTGCCAAACAAGAGATAATCATC